AAAAAAAAAAAAAAAAAAAAAAAAAAAAAGAATGTGTGCCAGGGAGGGAAAAAGGCAAAGGGAGACCTTGGGACTTCATGACTCTGCATTATTTTTGAAAGGGAAAATATGGAAACAACAACAAAAATAAAATTAATAAATAAAAAGTATATTAAAACAACAACAGCAATAAAGAAAGAAGAATATGAAAGACATAAAAAACTACGATACTTAGCTTTTATTTACACTTTGACTAATTAGTACCGAATCAAACTTTACATGATGTTTTTCTGGCGCCTGGGCAACAGCAGCTTTCCCAAAGTTTCCTCTCTCTAATTACTAAGGTAGTAATGCTGGGTGCAAATTTACATTCATCTGCATATAAACTTGCAGGCTTTTAAATACCTTGGTTTTCAAAAGATCTCCTAAAATGATACAGATGATCAAGAAACTGGGTCTAGAAGTTCTCAATCTGAAAGGGTGCCAGGCCAAATTAGTGAATTACCTCAATTAAGTATTGGGGAAACATTCAAAGTGAAGTATGCACTAATGCAGGACAAATTCCAAAATATACAATTACTGTGCACATCCTCTGTGAGGAAGAGTTTTGACTGCAAACCCAGTGTGACATAAGAACACCACATCCTTAGTTTGATGCCTGGTTGTGGAACCTACTGTAAGGTCCATCACAAGGTCAGTTTCAAACTCAATATGATGACATTTGTGTTGTGTGTGGTGCACCACTGGTATTAAGCAACATCTCTTAGACTCGAGGTCATGATACCACTGACATGACTATGAGGAAACTGCATAGTCATATATAGGCACCCCAAGCACCAGAAGCCCACAATGTGAAAATCAACCAGATGACTGAACTGGACAAAGCAAGAAGCTGAACTCATGTCTCTGTTGCCCATTTGTCTGCTCTTAAAAGATAAGCACTCATCTAGGGTTACCAATCCTCAAAAGACAGTGGAGAGAAATGCTTCTATTATTATCCATTGAGCATTGGAAATTTTGTTAGTCAAGTAGAGAAGGAATACAGTTTGAGAAAGACATTTCTGCAAGGAGCTGCAGTCTTGTGAGGCCCACAAGCAGAAAAGGATCAGCTGCAAGAGGTCGAGGAAAGCAACAATTCTAAGAAAGGAGTCTGGAATTTAGATTGATGGGAAGGGCATGGCATGCCCCAGGCTTGAGGCTTGGCTCAGCCCAAAGCAAGGCACAGTTATCAGAAGACAGCTGCACGGGAAAATTAATACTGCTATGTTAAAAACAGTATGTATGAGCTGGAAGGCAGTTGCCCTCGATTTTACAACTATGATTTCCTCTATCAGAAGCAGTGCCCACCTCTGCTACCTATAAAGTTCAGATCTAGGCTTGTGCAGAGAAACCTGGCACACTGGGAATGAAGCCACTCCCTTTTAGGACATTCTCTTAGCTAACCCTCGCCATATTTTTCAATATGGTGATGGAGAGTACCCAAATAAGCACAAAGGTCTATGCCTTTGTGCTTCTCAGTTATTTGGGGTAAGGATGGTTTCCCTGTCCTGTGATTGGCAATAGGGTGTTTGCTAAAGAACTAGTCCAAGTTTTCCATATCTACCTAACAATCAACTACCATTCCTGCAAAGTCCTTATCTTGGATAATGACACTACACTGGAGTACAGGAAATTTCCAGGCAACAAAAATCAGATTCTTTCTCCTACCCTCCAGGGTTTAAACACAAGACTGCTAACAAAACTGTGGCTGTTTTAACACCAATGGGTCCATTTTTCCAGTGATGCCTTAAGGACATAATCTGAGAAGTCTTTTGTGTTCTATCCCCATTTGGTGCTGGGGATGGAACCCAGTACCCATGCATGTTAGGCAAGCCCTCTACCACCGAGCTATATCCATGGCCCAACAAGGTTCTTCTCTGAATATCACACAAAGCCAAAGAGATCAGCAGGTTGGGCACACAGAGGGCACACGGTCTACTCACTCTTTGGTCAGAAGAGGACAAGACTTGAGCAGAAAGCGCGAGAGCCCCGAGTCCTGGAAGTAGAGGTCAGGTGGGGCTGTGGGACTCTTCAAGTTCAAACATCGGACAATCACGTACAGCACTGCAGCTACTGCAGCCAGCTTCACCCCGTCGAATACGGCGGGGAGCTCGGTGGTCTCCAGCATGGCATTCATTTTGACCTGGGGGTTAGAGCACAGGTGTGAGGGTTAGAGCCTACCCCACCACAGGGGCATGTCCTACTGTGACACAACCCACAGGTGAGCCCAGCCTGCCCCATCAGTCCTATGATTTCCTCTATCAGAAGCAGTGTCCACCTCTGCTGCCTCCAAAATTCAGATCTAGCCTTGTGCAGAGAACACACAGGCCACAGCCCTAATCACACACACACAGTCCTGAGTATGAGCAAACAGAGGAGGGTGTTCTATTCTTTCTTTAATCTCTTGAACATTTACAGGATAAGCAAATTGGAAAACACTGAGGATAGAGTTCTTTTTGAGAGTGGAAAAATAAGACTAGTCAGAAAGGCAAGAGAGGACCGGGGTGGGGGGGGTGTAGTGCTTTGATTTCTGTTAACAGGCCACCTTAAATCTCCCCATAGACTTAATCTGCACCTGGAGCACCAGGTGTGCTTTCAGTGTTGTATTTACAGCCCTGGATGGAAATACAGAAAGGACTGCTGGTGCCAGCAGGTGTGGCTGTATTTACTGCCTGCTGACCCTACTTCTCTTTTTTCAAAGCAGGTAAAGATACAGAAACCTCAGTCTGACTTAGGCCCTCTGCTCACGGAGGCCCTGGTGCGAGGTCTAGTTAATTCTCAGCCTGGGTCACAGGGATCTTGGCTTTTGGGGGTTTTAGATAATGTGAAATGAAGCTCACCAATTATTTTTTCCTGCAGAAGGCACTGGACTGTTGCCATTAGTTCAAAATTAGGAAAAAAGATGGACCAGATTAAACCACTGGATCAAAATATTAAATTGCAGTATAGAAAATATATACGCACATGTGATTTTTCCCAAGCTCTCCTAATATTTCATCTTTTGAGGTAGCTTTGTCTTATGTACAAAACACACAACCCCCCCCCACACCACCCATGTCAAATGCATAAGACCAAATATCAGCAACACAACAAATGCAACAGCAACAAAAATCTAGTATTTTTCCTTGCTACTCAGCAGAGTAACATTATCAGTTGTTACCTCAAGGATTAGGGAAACCACAAGGGAACCAAAAAGAGAAAATGGTAACTCTCACAGCCCAGGTAGCTATGGCAACTACTTCCCTCTGGAAGGGTTTCAAGTAGCCTCTGCTAAAAACAGTCATCTTGAGAACTCTGGTAGCCAACCATAGAGACAAAATAGACGGGCAAAAAAAAAAAAAAAAAAAAAAAAAAAATCTCCAAAAAATGTTTGGGGTATAACTGACTCAGCTCTCCTGAGACCTAAGGCAAGTCCAGAGAGGTCTTTTCTAAAATCAAGATGACTCTGGCAAATACAGAACCAAAAAACAGTGCAGACAACCTCTGGTGGAGTTTCTCAACTGAACAAGGAAAGGAAATCAAAGGGCACAGCTCCTTCACTAGCAGCCTTCAGGGCAAGAAAACAATGTTTTTAAACTTACCCTGTTCAAAATTTTGCATTAAGACTAGACCTCAGGATCTGCCTTTGGCCTGTGATGAGCAGTTTTCTTAAAACTTACTGCTGGTGATTTTTCTCCTCACTCCTGGGGGTAAGGGTGAGGGTAAGCTTTTCGTGTCCCCTGAAAGCTTTCTACAGACTCCTACAACAAAAGTTCTTGACTTGAGATCTGTTGGTTCCTAAAGAATTCTAGGGTTGGGGAATCCCTGAAATCATATGTGAAAGCTTATGCGAGTATGTGATTTTCTGGGGAGAGGGTTCAGAGCTCTCAGATTCTCAGCAAGGTCCGCGGACTTAAAAAGTACACAGCACTGCACTAAAAGATGCTCAATGGGTTGAATCTGCAGCTCTCAGCCCTCACCTTGCTGGAGCTCTGCCATCTATGCTGGTCAGAACAATGCTCGACTAATATCCAAGATGAGGCAGTTTGTTAATATAGATTTTTAAGTCTAGTAAGTGGAAGCCCTAAAAATAAAACCTATCAGAAATTGCAGTTTCTCTGCCTGGGTGCTGATAATAGAACTGAAATGGAAGTCCTTCCTTATTGCCTTTGTTGGAGAGAACAGAGTAATGCAATGAATGGTTTTATCAGTCTCCTGGTTGATCTAAGTCAGTAATTCTTTTTTTTTTTTTTTTAAGGGGGAGAGAGAGAGAGAGAGAGAGAGAGAGAGAGAGAGAGAGAGAGAGAGAGAGAGAGAGAGAATCTTTTTATGTGGTGCTGAGAATCAAACCCAGGTCTCCCCCGTGGTACCACTAAGCCACAATCCCAGCCCAAAGTTAATAATTCTCATTGAATAAAAAATAAATAAATAAAACAAATCCTTCCTCTTCCCCTTCTACTCACTGCTCACTAACACATGGGGGGGGGTGGAAATGACACACAAACAGAAGAGTCCTTGCAATACATACCTATATCACTTATTCTTCTCACTGTGAATATTAACTTTACTCAACGAGTTGCACAGTTGGGCTGATCAGGTCAGATCTCTTGTTCAAATTAACCTGAAAGCTGAAAAGATTGGATGGTAAGGTTTTAAAGAATGAGAAACTATTTAATTGAAACACAATCAAGTCTAACTTTCTCTGCATTTAAAGTCTTTAGGAGAAAAGACAATTTCTTTAATTCACCCGCAGTGCCACACTCTTGGACACTTAGCCATTTTCACAAACCTGCTGGGAGAAGCCTGTGCTAACCCACCAAGAATAGACAGCTCTCTATGGCTGCTGGGACAAGTGATCTGCTGGGTCCTTATTGCCTTTGTTGGAGAGAAAGTGGCTAACGCAACTCCACACTGCTTTGACTCTATCTTACAACATGACCTTCAGCAATGCCTCAGCGAAAAGGTGTCAACTCTGTGGTCAATGATATAATGTGATCAGGACAGCACAGTCATTTGACTCATTCCTTCTCAGACATGTCACAGTGAAAGGAAAAACGTGAGCTAAGAAAAGTAAAAGGGTGCAGATGGGCTCAAAAACAAGGTAGTAGAAACAGAGCTCAAAGTACTGGTGAGGGAGCTATAGCAATGGCCAGGTCTGTGACTGGACAGGGGTCCCCAAGGCTGGCTGCAAAGTGGCACTAGAAGGTTCCAGTGCTTATCCAGAGATGGAGGGTCAGAGCCCCAAGTCCCCTGTGAGAATGTGCTAAAAGATCTATAAATTACAAAGCATCAGAGGAAACCAAAAGAAGAACATGGGGAAACAGACCATGTTTAAGTGGTGCAATCTATGCAGCAAGCTCTGCTCTTCATGCTTCATGTACATTAACTCATTTAATCCTTCCCATCTACCTCTGAAGTAGATGCTACCTTTGACAGATGAGGAAATGAGGCCTAGAAAGTTTATGTAACTTCCCCAAGGTAAGTGACACAGCAGGTAAAGAGAAAAGCCAGGATTCATCTCTGGCCCCAGAGACCTTCTCTTAACCACCATTCTATGCTACTTGAAAGCAGTAAAGATAGAGAAAGAGAAACAAGCAAGAAAACGAATTGTACAGGCACAAATGAGACACCAGAGGCTTGCCCAGAGTCACAGCTGTTAAGAGTTGAGTTGAGATTCAAACTCCATTGTTTTTTTCTGACTCCAAAATGATTGAAGAAGAAAATAAGAGCCAGTTGAAGGAGAGACTCAATTAACCTTCACAGTGGACTTGCTTAACTTCAAATCTTTATGATCTCTTCACATCCTGAGACAAATTAGCCACCGAGGACAAGCTGTGGTGAGGTGGAACTGCAGAGTTGCAGCCTCATCATAGGCATCTGACCCACCAAGCTCAGCTGCCAGCTGAAAAATAAGGTTGCAGACTCAAGAGCCTATATAGGCAGCCCATGGGTTGGTGGTGCATCTGCCTGGCATTTTTAAACTGAATTTATTAGTTGCCAAGTTATAAACATCAGGAAATTTCAGATAAAAAATCTAGACTTCTGGCTACTAAAAAAAAAAATGAGAAAATCTGGCAATATGCAGCCAGCATTTTCAAAAAGCAACAGTGAATAGGGCCGAGTGGTAGCTGCCCCCTTCAACAAGACAAGCTGTCTCCAGGTCCTCAATACTGACCCCACCTCTCCTGTTACCATTCTCAATATTGACGCCTGGCCCATTTTAACCATTTCTGGTTCCTGAATGGTCCCAGAATATGTGAACCTCAGAGAAAACTAAAGTCATTTCTAGCCCTGGATGAGTGTCAAAACTTATAGGTAGCAAAGTATAATACCTTTTGATTGATATTTATTGAAGTCTATTTGCATCTTTAACTCTTTCAATAAACTATTAGAAATGGTTTCAATGAAACATCCTTTCTGACTAGATATGCATAGAGAATGACTTGGAAATGTGGCAGGCTTCTGACTGCTTCCCAAGATGTAAGTCTCTCCTTCATCCTTAGTAGCAGAACCTAGCACTGCACCTTCCTGAGAAATGACATACCCCAGCCTCCCTTGTAGCTTAGTGAGTTCAGGTGACTAAATTCTGGTCCATTCTGGAAGGATTGGTCTGATTTCTGGGAAGGCTCCTTAAAGATAGGAAGATAACATTCTGTCCTTCTTCCTTCCTGTCTCCTTGGAATACAAAGAGTATGGCTGTAATTCTAACAGCCATCTTAGGCCATGAAGTGACTTTAACATCACTCCATTAAGAGGACAGTGGATTAGAAAAACTGATGTCTGGGTCCCTGATGATTTAGTGGAGCCACCATATCAGACCTAGACTGCCTGTCTCAGGAGATCTTTTATATGAGAGAACAGTTTAACACCACTGTTAGGTCTGTATGCTTTAACTCTGCAATTTCCAATGACACATAAGGAAATACTATATAGCTAAATCTTCAAGATGCTAGAATTGCTAGTTAAGAATATTGAAAATTTTTCTCTATTTTCCAAAATTCACAATGACTTAAAATTATTTTTGTTATTAGAAAAAAAGCTTTTAGGGCTGGGAATGGGGATGTAGCTGGTGTTTACCATGCATGAGATCCTGCAATGTGCTTATCAATCCCCAGCATATTAAAAAAAAAAAAAAAAGCTTTAAAATGCAACAAAATTTAAGAAAAATTTTAAAACAAGGAAAATACATGTCAACATATGCAAGAATATGTATGTGACCCAGCTTAGATGGTCTCTGAGCTTTCTGACAGTCAGTGGGAGAAGGGAAACCCAGTCAATCTAATGGTTTCCCAAGATGGAGAGAGCTAATATAGATGCTCCTACTCCAAGACACATAACACAAATTCAATGGAAACAGGGCTTTTCTGGCACAGAATTATTTTTTTGAAAAATCTGTGGGACTTTATATAAAAGGACCTTGAGTGATGTGATAGACAGTGTCCTCCCACAACCTTTTTTTTTTTTAAATAGCAAATGCAGCGGAGAATTAATTTCTGCAACCCTTGAAAAATGCCAAGGTTTAAAAATTCATTCAGGGCTGGGATTGTGGCTCAGAGGTAGACCGCTCACCTAGCATGGACGGGGCCCGGGTTCAATCCTCAGCACCACATAAAAAAAAAGATATTGTGTTAAAAAAAAAAAGGAAGAAAATTTAAAAAAAAATTCAATTCAATTTGGGAAAGACAATCCAATGAGCAATTTATGGTTATTGTGATCCAAATATGCAGCCTTGATCCAAGACCTGAGCTGAGGAACAGATCTGTTCTTCCACCTGTACTTAGGGCCTCTTCCCTTGAATCTCAGTGGGCTTAAGTTCCTGGCCACCTACTGTGTGCCTAGCATTCTGCAGGACTACAATTAAGTAGAGTTCGCATTTTAACTGGGGAGAAATTAAATTTATGTTAAGAATGTATGTACTTTAGAAACTTGGAGTTGAGAATAATTAGTCCAGGAAAAAATTAAGCAGGAAAGGACTTATGGATCTAGAACTGGGCCTTGGTGTATGAAATGTAGGACTGAGAAGTGTGTATATGAGCCTGTGTGTGTGTGTGTGTGTGTGTGTGTGTACAATGCATTTCTACTATCTATCTAGGTATCAAACCAGGAATTAACAGGCAATTTTAAAACAAAACTCATCACATTCATTTTAATTTACCTTGCATTTTATTTTATGGTGTGGTTTCCCAGACTGACCTGCCACTAAATAAAAATATTCTGAATTTGTTCTAGAGGTTATAACAAACTCAAATTTTACTGTATTATATTTCACTCCCTTTTTTCTAGGTAGGTGAAATTTACCTAGAAAATGAAATGAACATGCAGCAGCTTACATAGGAAAAAAAAAAGTCTCAGAAGGGCAGGAGGGCTGGGTATGTGAGGATGGAAAGGAAATGTGCTCCCAGTCCACAGTGTCTCCATCTCTGTGGTGGGCTGGGCTTCCTGTGTATCTGTATCAATCTCTCCCTGGCCCCACCTCCACCCCAGTATGAGTAGGATGTAGGTGCTATACGTGATAGTTAACTCCATCTGAAGTCTATATATTAACAAAGGAACCCAAGGTGCTGCCAAGTGCCCAACAACTAGTCATTAAAGGAGCTTTTAGTATTGTCCTTTGTCTCTAATACACACTTGACTGGTATTTCCATCTCTGGTAAAGGCCAGGACTGTACCTCCCACGCTTCTCACTGCTCTCCAGAGGCCAAGGGCATCATTTTAAGATGGAGGCACAGGGACAGGAGAGGCAGTTTCTTCACTGTGCTCAGAGAAACACCAGTTTGGAGGTTCTGAGACCTTTGTCCCTTCGTGCCTGGTGACCTTCAACAAGTCACTTAACCTTTCAGACCCTAAAAACCTCATCTTCAAAATGAGAAGACTGGATTTGGAAATAGACAATGCCAGAGATTCTCTTTCAGTTCAAAATGCCTGAGATTCTGGGGACAGAACTACAGTCCTCAGCTAAAGAGGCAAAAATTATTTCTGTACTTTGTACTTTCCCCATGGTTTGCAGTCTACTTCTTTTAGACCATATAAAATAAAATTCATAAGAATGAACAACCCTCAGGGCCTCTGCTCTGTCTTCAAATAAATTGAACAATTATATATTTTAGGCTATGTTCTTTATGCCAATAATTCTATCATATTAATTCAATAAGTGCCTCAAAATATTAGCTATTACCATCACCAATACTGAATTCTCCTCCATTTTGCTCAGTAAACTATCTCATCTGACAGAAATTACAATAAAAGATACGCTTTCCTGACCAGAACAAAAGTCTAGCTGACTGACTTCTCTGACTTCCTCCACAAAGTTTAAAATTAATCCCAAGACATACTCTTCTTGATTCTTCTGAAGAGGAGCCATGTCAGATCTAATAAATCACTGGAAAAGCCAGGCATGGTGTTGTGTGCCTGTAATCCCAACTACTCTGGAGGCTGAGGCAGGAGGATGGCAAGTTTGAGGCCCACCTAGGCAATTTAGAGAGACCTTGTCTCAAAATAAAAATAAAAAGGACCAGCAATGTAGCTCAGTGGTAGAGCGCTTGACTAGCATGTCCAAGGCCCCGGGTTCCAGCCCCAGTACTGCAAAAAAAAAAAAAAAAAAAATCACTGGATAATAAATGGTGATCCT